TTTTGTAGAGTGTGGGCTTTGTGAGACAGCTTAAGCAGGTCCTCTGGACCTGAAGGGATGGAGAGAAGAATTCAGCTTCCCACATTTTCATTGTTCAAGGGCCCTTTTAAAAACTGGCTCTTTTCTTGCCCTCTCTATGGTAGCTGTCAATATAGCCAATGAATTACTGTTTAAGGAAAAAGGAACTGCAGACAATTAAATAGATGTCTAGACTTGCCAAGGTCAGGGTGAGCTGGCTCTGCAGGCTCTTGATATCATTACTATACTGCTTCATCTTCCTTGGCAGAGGAGGAAAGAAAAGGGAGGGGAGAGAGAGAGAGAAAGAAAGATTTTTTTTTCCTGTTTCAGCCCCTAATGTTGTTCAGAGTCAGATACTATTCCTAACTTGTCTTGTGTACCAGGCCAGACTGGCCACTCTCTTGCCTCTGCCCCCCGAATACTAGGGTGGCAGGCACACACCACCGTATTCAGTTCCCAAATCCTTGTGGGACCCAACACCCCCCTCTGTCCTCTTCAGCCTCATCTAGTTCAGTAAAATTGATGTAAAACACAGAAATATGTCCTGCGAGTCATGTTTAGGTGTGCAGCTCAGTGACACTGTAAGCATTCACCCTGGGAACGGCTTAGGGAGGTGGCCTAGTGGGTAAGAGCATTTGCTGTGTACAAGCATGAGGACCTGAGTTCCAGTCCCTTGCACCAAACCTAGGCATGGCCGGACACACACTCGTCACCCAGTATTGTGGGGCCTGGGGCAGGAGATTGCTGAGGCTTGCTAGGCACCAAGCCATTTCCGGCTTCAGTGTCTCAAGGGACTCAGGCTGAGGGCAACAGTGCAAGGCACCCATGAATGGGGGGCGGTGCACACCTGCACACACACACACACACACACACACATACACACACACACACACACACACACGCACGCCCAGGTGTACCTACACCAGCCCCCAATCCTCTCCACACACACAAGTAAAAAAATTTAAGCTCACATTTTTGTGCCTGTAATGCCAGCACCAGAGAGGCTGGGGCAGAAGGATTACCATGAGTTCAAGGCCAGCCTGAGCTACAAGAGGAATTCCAGACTAGCCTGGGCTACAGTGTAAGACCTTCCCTTAAGGAAAGTCAGATAACAAGCAAGCAAACAGCAACAGAAAATACGGTGCAGCCACCGTCACCATCCGCCTCTAGAACTGTCCAGCCTTCTACCCTGAAGTTCTGCCCCCTCTGAAACACTGTTTATACCCCTGTTCCAAGCCCCCGAGGTGACCGTTCTCTGGGTGGAACTGTAGGAGCTGGGGGTGTGGCTCAGTGGGAGAGTGCCCGCCGAGCATTCATGAAGCCCTGGGTTCGATCCCCGGCCCTGCATGTACTGGGGGTGGTGATGCAATCCTGCGTTCTTAGCTCTCATAGGTAGAGAAGGTAGAGCTCGACCACAAGTTTAAGGTTATCCTCGGCTACGTGGTGAGGTCCGGGCCAGCCTGGGCTACACGAGACCCTGTGTTCTTTCAGGCCTGGCTTGTTCCACTCAACACTGTGTCACCAAGATTCATCCCCGTTGTTGCAGGTGCCAGGTTCCCCCCCTTTTCAGGCCGACTAGTATTCCCCTAGGTGTACACACAGCGCACGTGGGTTCTTGATTCGAACCCAAATTCGAGCTGTTGTGAGTGAAGCTGCCGTGAAGGTGCGTATGGAAATACCTCCCTCACACCTTGCTTTCCGTTCTCTTGGCGCCGCCCTGAGGTGGGGTTCCGTGTCCCACGGGAATCCTATCCTGGCATTTCCACGAGAGTGTGTACATACACACCTGCATGCATGGATGGTCTGTGTGTGCACACGCATGTGCAGACAGGAAGACAAGCCCAGGCGCCATCCTTAGGCATAACAGCCACCTCCTTTGAGACAGTCTCTCTACTGCCCTAGACTGGCCAACAAGTCCTGGGAATCCTCCTGTCTCCACCATCCCAGGGCTGGGATTACAGCCGCCTGCCACCACGCACGCCTTTAGCTCTCTGCTGGGTTCTCAGGACTAAGCTCGGGTCTTCACACTTTCATGGTTCGCTGACTGAGCCTTCTCCCCACCCCTTTGTTGTCCTTAGTGGCAGGGTCTCACTGTTTAACTTGGGCTGACCTTGTACTCTTGGGAGAGCCTCTTTCCTCTGGCCACTGAACAAGGAGATTACAGGCGTGTGCCACCCACCTGTCTCTCGTTGACTTAAAAAAAGTGTGTGTGTGTGTGTGTGTGTGTGTGTGTGTGTGTGTGTGATATTTCTGGGCCTTCCTTTGCTTTCCCCCATCTTTCTTCTTAAGTCTGCTTTACCTGGTCTGACGGCTTCCAAATCAGCCCAAATAGGGACACTTTGACCCCTATTTCAGCCAAGCTCCATGGCCTCCTGAGTGCACATTGCTGTACTTCTCAGAGTTCTTGGGTCTTACCTGGATCCTCCAGGGTCCAATACGGTCCTTCATTCATCTGGTTCAGATGACCTGGTTGTTCTTTCCTGCCTTGGTGACCCTCTGTTCATCCCTCCTGGGCACGGTACTTCCTTCCAGCGTTAAGGGTGCTCATCCCTTGGCTGGAAGCTGCTCTCCCACGCTCAGCCCCCAACCCACCCTCAGGTACCCTCACTTGGGGAAGAGGAAGTTCAGCCTGCTCTCACCATCCCTCCCACCCCCCAAAATCAGGCTCTTTGTTTTTTGTGGTGGGTTTTTCTTTTTCTTTTTTTCAAGACAGGGTTTCTCTGTGTAGCTTGGCTGTCCTGGACTCACTTTGTAGACCAGGCTGGCCTGGAACTCACAAAGATCCACCTGCCTCTGCCTCCCAGAGTTCTGGGACCACAGGTGTGCACCACCCTGCCTGGCTCAATCGGGTTCCTTTGCCGAAGTTTCTCAAAGAGTGTGCCCCGATCTGGTGGGCTCAGGCACGCCATCCCACCTCTGAAGGCAGAGGCAGGAGGATCTCAGGTTCAAGATTTGTCCGGCTTGCAGCGTAAGAACATCGCCAGTCTGGAGAACTACGTGAAACCTGTCTGAAGAGGGCAAATACAAGCCATGGAGGCAGGCTGGTGAGATGGCTCAGTGGGTAGAGGTGCTTAACGCCTACAGAGGACAGAAGGCTCATTCCGTCCAGGCCCCAAATGCATTGTGAAAGGGGTATTTTAAACAGCTCGGCGGCAAAGCGCTTGCCTGCATGAGACCCCGGACTCAACTCTAGCACTGAAAAAATAGAGCTGAAAACCTGACAGGGCATGGCGACCCACACCGTTACTTCTAGCATTGGAAGGTGGAGGCGGGAGGGTCACCCTCAGCTACATGGGAGTTTGAGGCCAGGCTGGGCTACAAGAGACCTTAAACAAACCTGACAGCCCACAGCCCGCACAAGACCAAACCTAAAGCCAAACCAAAAACTTCTGTCCCTGCCTCTCGAACATGCTTATCTCTGTGTGTAGACTTGATAAGAGCGGTTCTCGACCTGTGGGTCTCAAGCCCCTTGGGGGACTTGCATTTCAGATGGTTGGGGGTCACCACAACAGGAGGAGCCGTATTAAAGGGCCTCAGCGTTAGGAAGGCTGAGAGTCCGGAATGGGTGGGCAGGGAAGCGACCCATCGCACGCAGGCCAGACCTCTCTTCCACTCACGCGCCAGCACCCGACACACGCACCATGGCTGTGAGCACTACATTGATCACTATGGGTCTCTTGTTTGTTTGGTTCGGTTTGTGAGACAAGGTTTCTCTGCGTAGCCTTGGCTGTCCTGGACTCGCTTGGTAGACCAGGCTGGCCTACGAACTCACAGCGATCCTCCTGCCTCTGCTTCCTGAGTCCTGGGATTAAAGCTGTGCGCCATCGCGCCCAGCTGACCGCTCTGGGTCTTTAACTCAAGTGTGGAGGGTTGTGAGTGCAGCTCACTGAAGCTCTCTGAGGGCAGGACCTACGCATGTGTCTATTCTCAGTCATTATTTTAAAAGTATCTTTCGTGTGTGTGCATGCGCACGAGTGCACAATTGTGTCCTCCTTTCTGTTTTATTAGCTCGGTTTTTTGTTTTTGTTTTTGTTTTGAAACAGTGGCTTGCTATGAACGTGGAGCTCACTGATTGGCTAGGCAGGCTGGCCAATGAGCAGCAGGGACCCGCCTGCCTCTACCCTACCGGGCTGCGACTGTAGACACTCTCAATGGGTTTTGAAGCTCGTGCTGGGGAGCGGACTCCAGTCCTGGAGGACGAACACATCAGGCACTTGGCCAGCCGAGCCAGCTCCTTCATAGTCTTTATTCAATTTATCAAACTTCTCATCGCGCGCGTGTATGTGCACATGTATCCAGATGCCCAAAGCGGCCAGAGGAAGACCATGAACTTGAGGTCTAGGTATTCAGTATCAGGGCAGCCTGGGTATGAGACAGGGTCTCAAACAACGAGACAGGAGCCAGCAGGATGGCTTAGTAAGGGAAGGTGCTCGTCACCCAGCGTGCCGACCTGAATTCCATCTTCAGAACCCGCAGGGTGGGAGAGAAGAGACTCCTGAGAGCTGTCCTCTGACCTCAGCGCGCGCGCGCGCACACACACACACACACACACACACACACACACACACGCCGTGTACGGCGGAGAACCGCAAGGAAATACACGAATGAATAAAATGTAACTTGCAACATTATATTAGAGAAAAAAAAAAAGCAAAACAGAAAACAGCGGTGCAGTCGCGATCAGGGGGAGCAGAGGGCGTCGCAAGCATCCCTGGGCAACTCTGACCCGCGGCCCCAGACGTGCACCCCTGAGGACGTGGTGCGTCCGGCACCACCGCACGCACGTCGGGGCTGGAGGAAGGGGCTCCACGCCTTTCCGCACCCTCCCGCCCCGAGGTGGAGGCTGCGCGCGCAGCGCGAGGGGTCCTGCGGCGCTCCGACTCCGCTCCGCGATCCGGCCCGGGTTTCCGCGCGCGCCGCCCCGCCCCGCCCCGCCCCGCGCCGCCTCGGCCGCCGCCGGAGCCGCTCGGAGCTGCGCGAACATGGCCGAAGTCGGCGAGGACAGCGGCGCCCGCGCCCTGCTGGCGCTGCGCTCGGCTCCCTGCAGCCCCGTGCTGTGCGCCG